CCAGAATCTACAAAGAACTTAAACAAATTTACAAGAAAAAAAAAAGAACCCCATCAAAAAGTGGGCAAAGGATATGAACAGACACTTCTCAAAAGAAGACATTTATGCAGCCAACAGACATACGAAAAAATGCTCATCATCACTGGTCATCAGAGAAATGCAAATGAAAACCATAATGAGATACCATCTCACACCAGTTAGAATGGCAATCATTAAAAGGTCAGGAAATAACAGATGCTGGAGAGGATATGGAGAAAGAGGAATGCTTTCACACTGTTGGTGGGAGTGTAAATTAGTTCAACCATTGTGGAAGACAGTGTGGCGATTCCTCAAGGATCTAGAACTAGAAATACCATTTGATCCAGCAATCCCATTACTGGGTATATACCCAAAGGATTATAAATCATGCTACTGTAAAGACACATGCACACGTATGTTTATTGTGGCACTATTCACAATAGCAAAAAGTTGTCCATCAATGATAGACTGGATTAAGAAAATGTGGCACATATACAACACAGAATACTACACAGCCATAAAAAAAGGATGCACGGACATGGATGAAGCTGGAAATGATCATTCTAAGCAAACTGTCAAAGGACAGAAAACCAAACACTGCATGTTCTCACTCGTAGGTGGGAGTTGAACAACGAGGACACATGAACACAGGGTGGGGACCATCACACACTGGGGCCTGTTGTGGGGTGAGGGGCTGGGGGAGGGATAGCATTAGGAGAAATACCTAATGTAAATGATGAGTTGATGGGTGCAGCAAACAAACATGGCACATGTATACTTATGTAACAAACCTGCACGTTGTGCACATGTACCCTAGAACTTAAAGTATAATTTTAAAAAATTATTTAAAAATTAAAAATAAACAAATAAATTTTTAAAAATAAAATAAAAATCATATATCGGTAAGGAACTGGTATTCTGAATATATAATATTGCAATGCAATATAATTGCAATTATATATATTATATATATTATATATATAATATATAATGTTGCAACTCAACATTATAAAGTGAAATGACCCAATTTAAATATATTCAATGAATTTGAATAGACATTTCTCCAAAGTAAGACAGGTATACTACACGGTGGTCACAAAAGTAGAAAATTTTAGGGAGCAGTTTCAGGTGACTAGCACAAGAAATCTGTTGAAATATCTACAGAGGCTCTGGGCTGATAAGATGCTGAAAAACAGCGTGTGGATCAAGCTGGCTAAGAGTGAGTGGACCCAACCTGGCCCTGAATTTGACCCAGATTTCACCCAGGACCTCATTACATGCTGATTAACATACTAAACACACACCAGCCAGCTCCCGAGCAGTTCTGAGAACACTTATATTTGGTGTAAAAATGCGGGCACCACAGTTCTGAGAAATCTCAACCTTCTTCCAGGAATTTTCATGAATATTCCACTCCTTAGTTAAAGAAACCCAGAAACGTGGCAGCCCCAAACCCCCTTGCACCTGCCTGTCTCTTGGGTCCTCCCGCACTCCCTTTACTTGAGTGTGTACTTTTCCTTTTACAATAAATCTCCGTCCTTTCTCTATTTCCTACTGGTTCTTGAATTCATTTCCCCGGCAGTGTCAACGGTCTGGACACTGGCTGGAGTGGAGGTCCCACTTGCGTTTGGGGACCTCCCCTTGCCCACTGGCATCAGAAGAAGAATGCAAATGGCAGCGAGCCCAGGAAAAGGTGTTCAGTGTTCACAGCCCTCAGGGAAATGCCAATCGCACCCACAAGGGGACGCCTCATCCGGTTGAAGTGGCTGACCCAAAATATGGTGAGGGTGGAGTGGTTGGGGCCTGTGTTCCTTACAGGACAGAGAGCAGGAGAAAGAGAGTCGGTGGAGTGTGGGGACTGTGCGCGTGTTACCCTCTCTCCATTTTCGTGGTGGAGGTTTCTCATTATTCTCCAGCCCTACCTGCTTCCTTCCTCTCCCTTTCTCCCGCCCTCCCTCCAATCCTTCTTTTCCACCCATCCTAAGGTTTTCTCCGCCTCACGACGTCATACTAGGGCCCCCCAGCCCAGTGGAGAAACCAGCAGCCCTGGACCGCGAGCAGCGAGGTCGGGGAGGCGACCACGGGAAGCCCCTGCCCGACCCTGGACACTCAGGACCTAGTGCGTCCCGGGCGCCCTCCTGCAGCAGCCCCAGGGCAAGGAGGATGGGGGAGTCCTCACAGGGGCCACACTGTCAGAGCCCCCACGGATCCGAGCGGGACGGTGACGTCTCCACACTGAGCCGGTGGCAAAGTCCCCGCGAGGATGAAGGAGGAATCTCATGCTCTTCACCCCACCAGGCCCCGCATTTCCTGGCTCCTCCTGCCTCAGGTACCGCCTGTCCCTTGCCGCCACCGGCAAGTCCTTCTGGGTCTTCCTAAAACAGTTTCGTCCCAAGGCTCTGGACCTGGAAGCCAAGGGGCATCCTCCGGCAGCGGGGCACTGCGCGATCTCCGACAGCCAGGAGTCAGGCCCGGAGCTCGGGGACAGCGGGCGCCCTGCGAGGAGCGCACAGAACCTTACCAAGGCTGAGGTCCTGTCGAGTTCTAGAGGGTTCAGCAAATTCAGGTCTGTTTCAGACTGTGTCTCTGGTCATAAGGAACCCCCACGGTGCGTGGTGTGCAGACAGCAGGAGCTCATGCATGCGCGGTCCTGACATTTGAGTGGGGCAGCAGATTGGTGGCTCCAGATGCTGTGTGTCAAGGAGAAGGAGATTCCATCTACTGGAGAAGAGTAAAAGAACTGGGTGTAGCCCCAGGAAGGAGAGGCTGCCAAGGACTGTGAGTACTCAGGGGAAAATGCTGGAGTTAATTCCCAGGAACGGTGCCTGGGTCACAGTCTTTAAGGCAGAGGCTGACTGAAGAGACTGTCTACCAGTAGGAGGACAGGTCTTTGGGAACCCTCTGAGAATACAGCTCAGTCCTGGGGCAATGCCCCTGCTATCCAGCCTCCTGCACACTCCAGATCTTGGCTCTGCCTGGAGCAGAGCTGACTCAGAGACAGGAGTTGCTCCTGGAGTTCCAAGGTCACTGCTGAACTGGACCAGGAATGGATGGGGTGGGGCAGGGACAGGCCCATTCAGAATTGTGGGTGCAGCTCCCAGGGTGAGAAGAGGCTGAGAGAGAAGGGGAAAGGAGGATGTTGCCTGAGTGGCTGGGGGCAGAGTGGGACTCAGGGGCTATGTCCAGTCGTCACCCTAAGCTAAGCCCTCTCCAGCTGCCAGGGGCCACTGGGACCCTCACCTCTCTCTGGCTTCTGCCACCACTTCCAGATGCCCTCATGATGATTAAGACAAGGATACAATTGGGGTTTCTTTTTGAGGATGGCTGCAGGGACCAGCCAGGCACTGAGCAGAGGTGTGGGTGCAGCCATGGATTTGAGTGTGGTTGACCACAGATGGGTGTGCTGCGTAGTGAGCCCCAGGCATGCACAGACCCTTCCTTCACCTCCTGCTCCCAAGGGAAACACAATTGATCACATTCCGATTGAGCAACAGTGGGCCACTAGGGCTTTTTTCCCTCAAAAGTTGTAAACGGATCTAGTATACTCTCAAAGACCTCATGCTTCTAGCAGAGATGCAAAGAAATGTGTGAGCAATTGTCACACGGGGAGATCCGGATACACTCTGTCACTGTGGATCCAGGCCTCAGGGAGCAGGAGGGTGTTCTTTCTTGTGAGAAGATGAGGGACACACCTCGGAGGGGGTATTTGTGCCCAGCTTTGAAGGATGGCTGGTCCTTGCCCAGGGGGAACAGGCCCAAAGCAAGCGCTGGCAGTTGGGAGCCATGGGGAGCTTTCACTTGAAGCTGCTCTGCTGAGTCTCCTGGGCCATCCCCACACCTGGTGGGGCGCTGTTCTAAGGGGGAGCTGAGGGCCCATCTCTCTGATGTGCTTTCTAAATCAGCAAGGTGTCTCACAGGTTGTGATTTTAGAGACAAGGTTTTCAATGCTGTCCTCGATTTTAATGAGCAGAGTCTTTTTGCCAACCCGCATTGGGCAGATCCCAGCAAGACATTCACTTTTAAGATAATTTTTAAAGCTGTTTAAGTTTGGTAAAAACGTAGAACATAAAATTTACTATCTTAACCAATTGTTTAGTGTACAATACGTCCTTTGAAGCCTCTGAAAACCTGGTGCTTCTGTAACATAATCTAGCCCTGGGCCAGGCGCGGTGGCTGTAATCCCAGCACTTTGAGAGGCGGAGTCGGGCTGATCACATGAGCCCAGGAGTCCAAAACCAGCCTGGGCAACACAGTGAAACCCCGTCTCCACTAAAATACAAAACTTAACCGGGCTTGGTGGCGCGCACCTGTGGTCCCAGCTACTTGCGAGGCTGAAGCAGGAGAATCGTTTGAATTCGCGAGGCGGAGGTTGCAGTGAACCGACATCGCGCCGCTGCACTCCAGCCTGGGCGGTAGAGTGAGACTGTCACGAAGAAAAAAAAAAGAAAAGAAAAGAAAAGAAAAGAAAAGAAAAGAAAAGAAAAGAAAAGAAAAGAAAGAAAAACCAACCAACCAAACAAACCTAGCCCAGGCTATAACGACGTCCACTCGGGATTTGGGATGGGGCCGCGGGGATGGGACTGAGCTTGGGTCTGCGCACAGGACGGGGAGGGGGGCATTCTGCAACGCAGGGAGAGGGAAAGCGGGTGTCGCAGGTCCAGGCGAGGACAGGGAGACCCTGTCGCGGCTGAACACTTCTGTGCGTTTTCTTCACCTTTCTGTGCATCGGTATCCACATTGGGTTAATACAAAATGAAGTGACGATTACATGAGGGTGTCATGGAAAGAAGCCGTTGACGGGACTGGTCCGGGACGGGCAGACCTGAGTCTGACTGGCCGGCGCAGGGTAAGAGCGCAAGTGCTGCAGTAGGAAGTGGGGTAGGCTTAGTGGAGCAACTTGGCTGAGCGACACCTGATTGGCTAGACACGCGACGATGGGGCGTGTTTCCTCCGAGGGGCGGGTCAGAACGCTTATTAGACGGGCGAGTGTCTTTAACGCTGCATTCAGACAGACTGAGAGCCGCCAGGTGATCCAAGGGCTGGGCTCCGAGTCTGCAGTCCTCTGCGATCCAATTTCCCAATGGCAGCGGCCGCCAGCCCCGCGTTCCTTCTACGCCTCCCGCTTCTGTTCCTGCTGTCCGTCTGGTGCCGAACGGGGCGGGCCGGTGAGCTCGGGGATGGAGTCCAAGCGGGGCGGGGGCCAAATGTAGGGGGCTGTGGGCTGCGGGCTTCAGAGCAGGGGAGGTTTCTGGAAGGACCCGTGCGATCTCCCCGGACTGCGCCCCCACTCAGTTCCCCTTCGCGTTTCCGTCCCGCCGGATCCGCTCCCGGAGGCTACTTATCCTCCGAGGGGAGGAGCAGGTCAGAGAGGAGGCTGGAATCCTTTTCCCGCCCCGGAGAGTGGAGGCGCCAGAGGGCTGCAGAGGGCGAGGTGGGGCGGGGATCCCTAGTGCAGCCTGGCAGTCCCACCCGCCCTCGGGAAGGAGAAACCAGAGCCCCCGGAACTCGAGCTGGGGTCAGGACAGGGTTAATAGGTGTTCCACAGGGACACCATCACAGGCACCCCCACCGGCCACCAGCCCGCTCTGCTCTCACCCGCTCTCCACCACACAAAACCTCCAGCACCCCCAGGGATGCGTGCCCTGGAATTTTTCCCTGCACTTTCCTGTAGACACTCATCTGCACCCAGGGGCTCAGCAGACACTTCCCACCCTCCCCTCACCATCCGCTGCCACCACCCAGGTCACATCCTCTTACTCCCCACCTCAACCCAGCTGGTCACCCCAGAGGTCTCCCCATCCATGAAGGGGCCCTCATTACCTCCTGCACCACGTGGCACCTTCTCCCTCTGGCCTGAGGACACACCCCAGCAAACACACCCCAAGCTCCCCACAGAACCTGTGCAGAGGGCATGTGAAGCACCATTCCCTCCAAGAGACCCTGGGAACTCTGGTGAATAGAGGCGCCCACTTCTGCCCTTGGGGCCCAGACCTGCCTTTTCTTCCTAGTGGTGAGCCAGCGTCGTAGAGAATAGTTACTGTGTAGACAGGGATCAGCAAAACCTTTCTAGAAAGGGAAGAAGGATGCCCTGTGATCTTTGCAGGCTTTGGGTTCAGTTCTCTGTGTCCAGTCCGGTCCCTTTGTAGAACAACAGCAGGCAATGGCAACCTGCAAATGAAGGGGGACCAGATTCGGACCCTGTCCCAGTTTACTGACCCTAGATGAAGGGATTACAGTGTCCCAGTGAATAGTGTCCCATCCTCTAGGGTGTCATCTCCAAGTGGTGTCTCAGGTGTCAGTTGGAGAGTAGAAGGTGGTCCTACTCTGCCTGTGGCTTCTGGGTGGTGTGGATGTGATGGGAGTGAGGGTTCCATGGTTCAGGGTCTACTCTCCCCTCCTTTGCTGCTGAGTGGCATCTATGGTCCACCAGGGCCATCAGCGACCTTCCCTGAAACCTGAGGTATGATCTGAGGGTGAGGGGTGCAGCCATGTTGTGTCCTGGGGATCAGGGCCAACTGCTTGTGCAACTTCTTAGTTCCCAGTGACCCTGCTTCTGCCCATCCCAGGAGAACCACCTGCATCTTCTCACTGCTGTGCCCACCTTCCTAATGACCTAGAGGGTGAGAAGCCCACCTGTAATGGGCAGCTCTGAGGCTGCATGGTCACGGCCCTTCCATGGCTAAAGGCCTCATCTCTGCCAAGGCCCAGAACTCTACAGGAGACACTTTTTAACGTTGAGATTTCCTTCCTGTGAGTGACATTGCCTTGTCTCTGAACATTCACACAGAATCTATGTTGTGATTCTTCAATTAAACATTGTAACCACATGTACCTCTAGGACCTTAGGGGGTCTTGGGTCACTGGGCACCTAAGGCAGGTCCAGCCTCGCTCATCATTCATGGATTGTCTATGGCTGCTTTTGAGCTTCAACAGCAGAGTTGAGTAGTTGGAATGGAGAATATATTCCCTGCACACCTTTATATATTTACAAAATTGCCCTTCACAGCAAACTCTGGTGGCCATAAATATGTTTGGAGAAGCCCACAAAGAATCATTGCACTTGCTGCAGAGTTAAAGGGTCCTTCCTCACTGGAAACTGGTGTCTTCTTCCAATTATGAGTTCAGGCTCTGAGAAGTGGCTTAATTCTGCAAATTGGGCAAAGCAGCCTTGTTCTTGATGGACTGGCTGCTTTCAGCCTCCTGGTCATCCATCATTTGTTTTATTGCTGTTTGTTGTGATTATTTAAATCCAGCAGTATTCAGATTGGGTTTCCATTTCTTCTGGATCTTGGACCCCTTTGTTCTATGAGTCATGGGCAAAGCTTTGTATGGCTGAGGTCACCAGCTGGCATTGCAACTTCTCTAATCATTTCCATCATTGAACCCTCCTTGCTCCTGACAATTGACACCTCCACCTGGAATCTGGTATTTCAGGATTTTTCATCCTGTTACTACTGGGAGCCCATTTCAGGAACAGCATCTCCTACACCCATCCATGGCCTTCAGCAATAGGCATCCCTGAGCTTCATCCCATTCTGGTGTCTTCTTATGGGGCCTTCTTTATATACCAGGTAAACAGGAGTCCTCCAGGCTTCCATGAGCACAGCGGATGGAAATTGTTCTGGATTTTCACACTCAGAGCACTCCAGCATGGGCCCTTCTCTGAGCCTGTGATCCCTCCCTCTAATACCTGCCTTAGATTTTCAGATTTTCTATTTCTTGCTGCATGGACCATCTCTTTGTCCAAGGTTTCAGGAAGGCATCCTCATAGCAGATGAGCACCATCAGCAGGGGCTTTGCCAACATGTTAAATCCTGTGACCATGACAATTAACTCTTCTTTATCCAACTGGTTTCCATCCTCAGTCCATCCCACCATGCACCAGCACCCTCAGGGGCAGCCCCCACACCCTCTCCTACCTCCCACAATCCACATGGGCTGCTGCTGAAGATCCTCTGCCAACCAGGCCCCTCCTCCTCTAGCAGTCCTGGCACCTCTCATGTGTTGACCGATGTGGACAGAGGGGCAGTGGGACATGTCTGGGGACATGTGGCTTCTCAATAGGCAGAGACCTCCTCCTCCTCCTCCTCCTCCTTGTCATCATGGAAGTGGGGAGCACTTGGCTTAATCTTGTGGACACCACAGTTCTGGAGGGGGCACTCTTTGCTGGGCCAGCCCAGCCCTCCAGAGGCATCCTCTTATTGTCACGGTGTGGAGGAGGGGTACCTAGGGATATTTTTCTCCCCACCCACCCCTCACCTGCCTTTCTCCACAGACCCTCACTCTCTTTGCTATGGCATCACTATCATCCCTAAATTCAGACCTGGACCACGGTGGTGTGCGGTTGAAGGCCAGGTGGATAAAAAGACTTTTCTTCACTATGACTGTGGCAACAAGACAGTCACACCCGTCAGTCCCCTGGGGAAGAAACTAAGTGTCACAAAGGCCTGGAAAGCACAGAACCCAGTACTGAGAGAGGTGGTGGACACGCTCACCCAGCAGCTGCTTGACATTGAGCTGGAGAATTACACACCCAGGGGTAAGTTTCAGATGGCCCAGGACAGGAGGGAGCAGATACAGTGGTAGGTTAGAGGCATTTATAGTTTTCATGTAAAAATACAAATAGGAAGGGTCCTATCACCACTTAAGAGGTCTAGAGGCAAGGCCAGGATGTGGCAGAGAGAGTAAGGCCAGGAAATTGTAAGCAGAGCAGGATGGGGGCTCAACATGTGTCAAGACCAGAGCTGATCTCTCTCTGATGGGGGCAGAACCCCTCACCCTGCAGGCCCCAGTGTCTTGTGAGCAGAAAGCCGAAGGACACAGCAGTGGATCTTGGCAGTTCGGTTTCGATGGACAGGTCTTCCTCCTCTTTGACTCAGAGAACAGAATGTGGACAACAGTTCATCCTGGAGCCAGAAAGATGAAAGAAAAGTGGCAGAATGACAAGGATGTGACCATGTCCTTCCGTTACATCTCAATGGGAGACTGCACAAGATGGCTTAAGGACTTCTTGACGGGCATGGGCAGCACCCTGGAGCCCAGTGCAGGAGGTAACAGCAGAAAGAAACGGGGATCTGGAATGAGATCAGAAACGGTGATCTCGAGAAACTAGTTCTTGAGTTCAGCTTCAGTCATCCCAGTGTACACGTTTATGTTAAAATGACCCCCTCATGGGGCGCTCCTCCTGGGGGTGCTGGCGTGCCTGTGCTCTCCCATCCTCCTCTCCCTTCTCCCTCCTGACTCCTCTTTCTCACTGCACTTGCTTCTGCTCCCCGCACTGTGGATTTCTCACCAACCTCGAAGCTGCGGGTGTCAGTTTTCAGACTTTTCTCCTTAGTGTTCCCTCTTGAGAATCACTTTTCCTTTCCTCTCTCTGGTCTATTTCTGGAAATCCATCAAAACCTCCTCCAAGGCCAGCCCAGAGACCCTCCCCTCCCCGACCTTCTCTTCCACCACAGCAGGAGGGTGGGCTGTGCTGTCACCTTGCTTCCCTCAGCAGCTGTGTGAGCTCCCTGAGGACAGGAACACCCCCTCCCTTCCTACCCCAGGAACTGTCCCAGGGGCTGCCCCATAGCAGGAGGGCACAAAACCTCTGCCTTCCAGGATGACCTGTGTCAGCAGGAGCTGAGGAGGCATCTCCTCAGATTTGAGGCCTGGACAAGTGTTGTCACTCTTGTGTTTCCATTTCAGCACCACCCACCATGTCCTCAGGTGCAGCCCAACTCAGGGCCACGGCCACCACCCTCATCCTTTGCTGCCTCCTCCTCATGTGCCTCCTCATGTGCTCCAGGCACAGCCCAACCCACAGCCATGGCCACCACCCTCAGTCCCTGGAGCCTCCTCCTCATCCTCCCCTGCTTCATCCTCCCTGGCTGCTGAGTAGAGTGCTTTGGAGTGACAGGTATGGGGCAGAATTGGGAGTGGAGCAAGGGGCAGGTGGATGAGGAGGGAGGACGGGGATGGAGAATTCCCCAAGTTCCGCCCCTCTGCATGGCTGGGACCTTCTCATCCTGACATGAGACAGGTGAATGAGACCCTGTGTTGCTTGTTGGAAATGACCTGGGCAGCTCTGCCCTGAGTTCTGATGGATTCTCACCATCAGAGGCCAGAGGGAAAGGCGGGGTGGTGCCATACCAAGGCTCAGGGTCTGTTGAGCTTGAGAGGGCTTAGCAAGTTCAGGCCTGATTCAGAGCAGGTGCCTACTCGGGAAGGGTGTGTGGCCTGCAGGCAGCAGGAATTCAGACATGGGCAGTCCTCTTAATTGGGTTAGGTGCATCGTGGTAGCTTTACATGAGGTGTGACAAGGGAAGGGGGATTTCATCTCTGAGGCTGAGAGAGAGATGTGTGGGCGGCAAGTGACCCAGGTGCCGAGGCAAGAGACTGAAGGCACAAGCTGTTCCAGTATAATAAAGAAAATACTTAAAATAAGAATAGTTGTATTAGACATAGAATATAGACATGATTATATATGAATATTATAAATCATTAGTTTGTAGCATGACTCTTTTTTCCAATGTTATAATAATCTCTGTTCTACAATTATAACCTAGGAAAAACCAGGGCAAACAGAGATAGGAGCTGAAGGGACACGGTGAGAAGTGACCAGAAGACAAGAGTGTGAGCCCTCTGTCACGCCCGGACAGGGCCGGTAGACAGCTCCTTGGTCTAGCGGTAATGCCAGTGCCTGGGAAGGCACCTGTTACTTAGCAGACCTTGGTCTAGTGGTAACGCCAGTGCCTGGGAAGGCACCCGTTACTTAGCAGACCTTGGTCTAGTGGTAGCGCCAGTGCCTGGGAAGGCACCTGTTACTTAGCAGACCAGGAAAGGGAGTCTCCCTTTCCCTGGGGGAGTTAGAGAACACTCTGCTCCACCACCTCTTGTGGAAGGCCAAACATCAGTCAAGCCTGCCCGCAGCCATCCGGAGGCCTAAATGTCTCCCTGTGATGCTGCGCTTCAGGGTCATGCTCCTAGTCCGCTTTCATGGTCCACCCTGTACACCTGGCTCCGCCTTCTAGATAGCAGTAGCAGAATTAGTGAAAGTGTTAAAGTCCAAGAAATACATAGAAGAAATAATGATGTAAGCTGTCCTCTCTCTCTCTCCACCTCAGCTACCAAATAGGGAAGGGCCCCTTGTCTGGTGGACACGTGACTCGCGTGACCTTACCCATCATTGGAGACGACTCACACTCCTTACCCTGCCCTCTTGCCTTGTACACAATAAATAATGGCACGGCCAGGCATTCGGGGCCACTACTGGCCTCCGCATCTTGGTGGTAGTCGTCCCCTGGGCCCAGCTGTCTTCTTTTTCTCCTTGTCTTGTGTCTTTATTTCTACGATCTCTCATCTCCGCACACCAAGAGAAAAACCCACAGGCCCTGTAGGGCTGGTCCCTACAGATATGGGTGTAATCCCAGGAGGAGGGGGCTGGGAGAGCCTTGGTATACCTAACTGAAAAGGAGGGGGTGCAGAGCTGCCCTCCCACAGAAAGTGGCTTGGATTCCAGGAATTAAGGCGGACGGCAAAGAGTAGAGGCTGCTCATGAAAAGGTTTTTTAAAAAGTCAGTCCCATGGGCCCATGGGGTTTGAGTCCAGACCTTAAGGCAGCTCCCCTGCCATCACTCTCCTGCAAACCCTAGATCCTGAGCCAACTGATGGCCCTGCCGGGAGCAGAGTGGACTCAGACACAGGGGGGCTGAGCTGCTACTGGGGTTCCATGGGCACCACTGGCCTAGACCAGGAATGAATAAGGTGGAACAGGGACTGTCACCTTCAGAGCTATGGGTGCTGCTCCCAGTGTGAGGAGAGGCTGAGGAAGAAGGGGAAGGAGGGATGCTTCCCTGCAGGCCCACCCAAGGCCAAGGACAGAGGAATACAGAGCCCTCTCTTTGGATGGGCTCCCCCCACGCCTTCCATGTTTTAGGCCCTGTCATCAGAGGGTAGAGAGGGCCTTGAGTGAGGGAGCAGGCCTATCACTACCAGCTTCGGTCCTGCAGGCCCCTGCACTCCATCCCCTGGTCAGGTGCAGGGCCTGGGCTGACTCTGTGATGTGACAAAGGAAGAAAGAGGATGGTCCAAGCTGCATGTGCCAGGGTTGGGGCTCAAGGGAAAAACAGGTCCCTTAGTGCAGGGGGCTCTGAGACATGGAGTGCCTAGGGAAAGATTGCCCTGGAAAAGTGATCCAGGTTCTCATTCATCTCTTAAACCAACATTTGTGTCCTTTTTGAAAGTTAGAGATGACACCAAAAAGCCCCTGTGAGCAGGGTCTCAATCAAACTCGCTCTTTTGGTTGGCCACCTGCCCACAACCTACTGTGTATGTCCAGAGGCCTCCAGCAGATCATAATGACACCAGGGACCCAGTAGCTCGTTCACTGCCTTGATTCCTTTTGTCAACAATTTTATCAGCGGTTATTCCTAACATATTACGTTATTTTTTATTGGTGCTATCTGATGGAATTCTTGCAATTAAAGTTCTGGCTAACTAAACAAGATATGTCAACATTTTCTTTCTTCTGCTTTTGTTTGAAAAATTGAGTACTTTTTGAATGATGACCTCTTTCTTCCAAATGATATAGTCAGTAAAACAATCATGTTAGACTTCGGACCTCCAGGGTTTCTTTCCGTGTCCTGAAGGATAATTCTTTATTTAATAAGAAAAGATTATATTAATGATTATTTCCTCAGTAATTTATTGCTCTGTAGTAATATTTCAACAGAGAGTTCTATTTCCCAAAAACCTACTGAGTTTAGAATTTTCTTGTATTACCCAGTAGAGAATTAATGTTATTTCATTTTTCCTCCATGATGTGGAGTAATAAATGAGTGATTCTGCTTGAATTTTGTGTGGAAACAGAGAATCTACAAAACATGCCTGAAAAAAATCAGGGACAACACACATACATGGAAAAATAATTTATGCTCATGAGTTAGAAGATACAATAGAGCTAAAATGGCCATACTTCCAAAAGTAATTTATAGATGCAACACTATCCCTATCAATACCAACATCATTTTTCACAAAATTAGAAAAATCTAATCTAAAAGTTATTTGGAATTTAAAAAGAGCCCAAATAGCCAAAACTATCATAAGCAAAAAGAACAAAGCCAGAGGCATCACATTGCCAGACTTCAAACTATAATACGAGGCTATAGTGATCAAAACAGAATGGTACTGGTACAAAAATAGACACTTACATCAGTGGAACAGAACAGAGAAGTCAGAAAGAAAACTTCACACCTACAACCATCTAACCTTCAACAAAATCAACAAATGCTGCTGCGATAACTGGCTAGCCATGTGTGGAAGAATGAAACTGAAGCCCCGCCTTTCACCATGTATGTAAAATAACTCGCCATGGACTAAAGATTTAAATGTAAGTCCTAGAACTATAGAAATCCTGGAAGATAACTTAGGAAATACCACTCTAGACATACAGTCTGGAAAAGATTTCATGGTGAACACACCAAAGGCAATTGCAACCAAAACCAAAAATTGACAAAGGGGACCTCCTTAAACTAAAGAGCTTCTGCAGAGCAAAAGAAACTAGCAAACAGTAAACAGCCTATAGAGTGGGAGAAATATCTGCAAACTATGCATCTGGAAAAGCTCTAATGTTCAGAATCTACAAGGAACTTAAACAACTCAACAAGCAAGAACAAAAAACCCAATTAAAAAATAAGAAAAGAATGTGAACAGACACTTCAAAAGAAGACCTGCAAGTGGCCAACAAACATGAAAAAAATGTTCTTTCGGAGGCTGAGGCGGGCAGATCACGAGCTCAGGAGTTTGAGACCAGCCTGGCCAACATGGTGAAACCCTGTCTCTACCAAAAATACTAAAATTACCCTGTGTGGCAGCATGCACATATGACCTGTAACAGTGCATAGTCTAACGTTGAAACTAAAATATCTTGGACTAGTACTTCCTAGTTTTGTCCAGCAGATGGCAATGCTTATCTCGCAAATACTTCAATAAGCCCAGAGGGTTTGCTCAGTGAGTTTGTGCCGTGAGCTCCTTGACACACAGTTTGGGATCCACAGTCAAGGGCTACAGAGAAGACAAAAGAGACGTTGACATCATGTCGAATGAGGAATCCATAAACAGTTCATTTCTGAGGATTGGGGCAGTTCCTCCCGCCCTGCAGATCAGGATGCCCTGAAGGCAAAGAGCAGAGGGGTGCGCTCTGGTGGCCCAGCAGTTCTGCCTCAGGGGAGAGGTTTTTCTTCTGCCGCAGTGAAAACTAGCAGGACACTGTTTCATCCCAGAACCAAGGAAACCAGGAAGGAAGGTCAGAGTGAAGAGCTGTCTGAGCGTTTCAGATTACACAGTGACATCCTACTTGATGACTTCAGAACTCCTTCATGAGCTGGGAGACAGCCCCTGAGGTGACAGGTGAGTGGGCAGCATGGGCCAGACATGACAACTCTTGAGATGACACCCAGTTTCTCCCTTGTGTTTACGTGTGTCTTTGTGTGTGCATGTGCGTGTCTGTGTCTGTATTTCTACACGCATTTGTGTGTGTTTGTGTGAGTGTGTGTATGCCTGTGTGGTGTGTGTGTGAGAGAGACTGTGTGTGCCTGTCTCTGTGTGTCTGTGTGTGTGTGTCTGTATCTGTGTGTGTGATAACATGCATGTATGAATGGTGAACTGATTTCCTGGTTGATTCGCTGTCAGGGAGACAGGGACTCCAGGGGGCTTCCTGCCCACGCCTCCTTCCTTATCTTGTGTCCTGATATTCTCTCCTCCCTGTGGAAAGAGTCTACCCCAGTAACTGAGGGTTCATTACTGCAGACTTCTCACAGCTCCCCAAAGTTCTGTGATATTTGCACCCCCAGGCCTTCTCTTCGTGCTTGTCCCTCTTCTGGGTGCCCTGTCTTCTCCTCCCACCTGGCCACGCTGTATTCTTCCTATTCCTACAAGAGCAGTCTGAAATGCCACCTCCCGAGAAGCTTCCATGCAACTCCCCAGGGAGAATGAGTCACCCCCTCTTCTGCCCTCTGATAGTCCCAACCACTGCGGGGACATCACATCAGCAGCAGCAGCCACGTGGGTGTTTGTTTCTGTCCCTGGATTCCAAGTTCCTGGAGGACTGCACACATCCATCACCCACATGTAAACCCAGCACCTAGCACAGTGCCTGCCACATGATACGATTTAAGACACATCAGAGGAATCCAATCATCAGACTACCCCAGGGCTGCTAGAACTCAGAAAGGATCCCCATCGTTTGGGGGATTGGACAAAGGTCTTCGTTTCCGTTCTTTCCAGCACCAACCTCCATGGCTCCACTCATCCCTACTCCTTCCTCCTGTTAAGATTGGCCGGTCAGGAGAGGGGTAAGGACAGGAGCAGCTACACCCGGTCTCCTCCACCACCCATGGTGGGGTGCACCCTTAGTGAGACCTGGTGAGCATGACAGCCACTGGGCCTAGAGGACCTGGAGCCTCCGAAGCCCCACAGAGACCAGAAGGAGCTGTTCAGCCACTTGTGGAGACTGCCAGAGAGTGCTTCAAGGACTGCATGGAACTCTGGAGAAGCGGGGAGTTCATGACTCTCTTTTGTGGGGCATGAGAAATTTAGGCAGGATCATGTCTATAAAAGAGGCTGTCACTTTGGCTTATCAATGCTTTCACCTCCCTACCCCTTCCAGATCAGAGTGGGTGCTTTACTTGTTCTTATGGATTATTGTGTCAGCCAAAATGAGAGGTCAGAATCACCCTAAAGATTTGAAACTTCTTTAAGATTTGACAAAGGCACAACATTTTAATACCACTTCTATTTTTAGGAAGCTGTGGCTGAAGAAAGCTTGCTATAGTACAGCATTGTCCAAATTATTTATACAGAATTTTAAAAGTCTACATAATGTCATACAACCATCTGAAAAGTAAAACCTAAAAAGCAATAACTTTTTGAGCCAGGAGTGGTGGCTCATGCCTGTAATCCCAGAACTTTGGGAGGCCAATGCCAGAGTATCACTTGAGGCTAGGAGCTGGAGATCAGCCGTGGCAACATGGTGAGACTCTGTCTCTACAGAAAGTTTTAAAAACTGACCAAGTGTAGTAGCACATGACTGTAGTCCCAGCTCCTCAGAAGGTTAAGGTGGGAGGATCACTTGAGCCTGGGAGTTTGCGGTTGCAGGGAGTTGAGGTGGTGCCACTGCACTCTAGACTGGGTGACAGAGTGAGAGCCTGCCTCAAAGAAAACAACAACAGAAATAAGAAAAATATTTAAACACCAATAAGCTAAATTGACATAAAGATTGTGGGACCCAAATGACCAAATCATGCAATTTCTTACTTTTTTTTTT